AAGTGTAATGAAGATAATGTTACAATGGAAATAAAAATTAAAATATTTCTTTTCAGCCCTTAAATGAAAAATTGGGAAAATAATATATAAGATAAGACAATTTGACGGACTCATGCAATGTGAAACTGAAAAAGTTGAAAAGATTGGAAGAATCTAGCGGGAAAATAATAATTTTGGATTCAGGAAAAATATCTGCCGTGATTTCGAAATATTTTGGAAAAAAACATTAAACAGAAGGATATGTTACATGAAAAAATAATATTAGGAGATAAAAGGTTAAGTCTTCTATGTATTCTAACCTGATATACAAAAATACAACTTTTGGCAGCTACTAGTCAAACGAATAATATAAATATATATATAATGGAGTTAGTCAACAACAAAACTAATACCTCCCTTGACCTAGCATATTAACTTTATAAATTAAATTAAGCCTATTATTCATTATATTAGGCCTAGAATTTCTGATTTAAGCCTAAGAGAGGATAGGTAGATTGTACGTTTATTGTTCTACAGTTCAGCATTCCATTTGGAATATTCAAATTTTACAAAACACTGAAAATTAATATATCTATTATTATTAGGGAGGGGTTCGTGTTTCTTTCTCATTGCTACTTCAAAACGAAAATGACAAGGAAAAGTTATCGTTCATCAACTCATCTGAAGCTTGGCCGTAGAAAGTGATCTATTCATCAAAAAATATCTTGTGCTGCGTAATCTTTATATAATATGTAACAAATCAAATTTGGCTCCGGATAAATTTGCAGACCGAGAATCTTGGTAAAGCAACAATTCTTTTATTTCAATATTCTATTCACAGTCTTTATACAAAATATACAAAATAAAAAGTCATATGAATCCATGAATATCCCATCTCTGTGAATCAAATTTTATTAACTATGACCCCCCCCCATGAAGTTTTTCACAATTCATACAAATCAAAATGATTGCATGTAAAAGATGGATCAACAGTTGTAATTCCTTTATTTGAATAGAATATTTTAATTATTTTTAAAACATTCTCTGAAAAGCATCACAATCATTGTTTTACGATATTCCACAAATCATATATTTGTAAATAGCAGCTGAATTCTAGAAAGCACAGATGATCCAAAATCATATATATATATATATATATATATATATATATATATATATATATATATTATTAAATATGACCGAAAAAGTAAGATTAATAATTCTAACACGAATTTTCTCAATCTTTCGTACATTACGCTTCACTGTTGGAGGTAAATCAAAAATCACTTCTCCAAAATTCATTTTAATTTCTAGTCTGACGCGACACGGGCGCGTTTCGTAAAACTTATTACATTTTCAAAGACTTCACAAATACACAACTGATTAGAACTTACGTATCCCTGATTTTATATCTACATTTGAGTGAGGTGGGAGGGGTGATGTGGCATTAACACAAGACAGAACAAGAGGGGATATTAATAGGGTATTAAAAGTATCAACACAAGACAGAACAGAAACAAACCTATTAATATCCCCTCTTGTTCTGTCTTGTGTTAATGCCACATCACCCCTCCCACCTCACTCAAATGTAGATATAAAATCAGAGATACGTAAGTTCTAATCGGTTGTGTATTTGTGAAGTCTTTGAAAATGTAATAAGTTTTACGAAACGCGCCCGTGTCGCGTCAGACTAGAAATAAAAATGAATTTTGGAGAAGTGATTTTTGATTTACCTCCAACAGTGAAGCGTAATGTACGAAAGATTGAGAAAATTCGTGTTAGAATTATTAATCTTACTTTTTCGGTCATATTTAATAATATATGTCTACAGGAAAGACTGCTACCAAAATATACTAATATATATATATATATATATATTGTTTTCTCCCACCACTACCTATATTCTTGTACTTTTCATTTAAAGCCCTCGCGGGATGGGGGCGTGCTCCGCCGGAACCCCCAAAGTGATAAGCCTGCAGATAGTTAAGAAATATTACCATGAATTGTAATTAGTATAAATTCATCTAATGCAACTTTCAATTACTAATTTCGTTTAAAATTTTACAAAATTTAAATTACACAAAAAGGGTTACAACATTGGTTACATGCAGGGTACAAGGCTACTTGTCTTAGGTTGTACAATTTCTCCAGCTCCTCAGATGGCGGGCAGGAACCATGGATGCAGTGAGCATTTCCTCTCTGGAAAGCCACACTAAGGCGCTAAAAGAGAAAACTGGCGGATCTAGGGTCTCTAGTTGTTTCAATTAGTATAGAACCCAGCGCCTTCAAAAAACTAGCAACACTTTTACCCCAGGCACCAAGTGTCTCTGAGGCAATGGGGAAAAAATTGTAGTGGTGATCAATATCTCTGTATTTACGAGACTTAGCTGCTTCCCGGTGAGTGTAAGCACCGCCTGCCTGTGCAGCACTGAAGTCATCATAGGTGTTGGCTAAAGTTGAAACGCAAATGTAGTCCCACATCAACTGTCTACCATTCTTCCATCGATTCACCATGATCCCGTTTGGGCGACCGACAGACTCGTCAGAGTTGCAGGGCATTATGTAACGAGGTTCTCTCTCTGCTGGACAACCGGCTGCGGTAAAGCTCTTCTTAATAATGTCATTAACTTCGCTTGCATACCATCTCCCTGTGCTTTGGCAGAGAAGGCCATGCCGGCCGTACCTGTCGGCCACTGTCTCGCCGCAAATTCATCTGTATTTGGTGTTGACTGGGCCAGCGAGGCGGAGAGCCACAATTATTAGGAGGGCCTGTGGTGTGCGACGCGTGCCAGTGGCCGACAGTGGGGTTGCTAATAGGAAGTCACCTTCATGGGGAGCTTTAAGTCGGGCAGTATCATGTTGGGGTTGTTGCAGCTTCTAGGCATGTTGCAGCTGCTTGGTCTACAATGGGGCGATTCCAGCTGGATTGCTTGTGAGCTTCAGAAGATGGCTGTTGGGGTTGATCCTGCAATGGAAACCCATATGATGGTGCAGACCGAAAGCTGGGATCTTGTACTCCGCCCTGTTTACCTTACCTAGGAAATCAGGTACGATTACCTTTACCAGGTTGTAGTGTGTTCACAATGTAATGTACTATAACTCGAGAGCCTTTGCTGGTCGGCCGGATGGAATCACACTACGCCCATCGAAAACTGGCACACAATTGGCATTGTACTATACTTATGTATCCATCTTGGCAGCGACATACATCACCCTCACTGTTGGTCAAGCAGGAGTCGCTGCTACGCACAGACACATGTTCAAAAAGAGTACAGGGAAACTGACCAACGGTTCAACTTTGTTCCTATAGGATCTGAAACCCATGGTCCATGGGAAGTGTGCGCTTAAAGGTTTGCCAGTGATCTGGGTTCCTAGTTTATCAGAATAATAAGAGACCCTAGAGCAGTGAGCTTCCTTTTCCAGCGCCTCAGCGTGGCTATCCAGAGGGGAAATGACAACTGCATCTTCGGTTCCTGCCCAGAGTCGGAGTAGTTCAATGGAATCTACAGCCTTTAGGACATACTTTTTAAATCCTCTTAATTTTCAGTCTTGCAACCAATTATTTATGTAATTGTATAACCTTGTACAATGTGGTGTGTAATAACAAAAAGGGGGGTAAGAGAATCAAATATGCATATGAATTTAGTCAAACGACAAGTTTTTTTCCGGCTCTTTAATCCCTTCTCAGAGGCTATGGGTCTCTACAATTGTTCCAGTGGCAGTACCCTTTGTGTGTGTGTGTGTGTGTGTGTGTGTGTGTGTGTGTGTGTGTGTGTGTGTGTGTGTGAGAGAGAGAGAGAGAGAGAGAGGGAGAAGAGAGAGAGAGAAGGAGGGAAAATTATCAGGGAAAACCGTGAAGCCATTTCGACTATATTAGCACTAAGAAGAGGTCAGGATAAGAATTTGGGATGGGACGGGGTGGGGGGGGGGGTAAGAAATGATGCCCAACCACTTGGACGGTCGGGGAATGAACGCCGACCTGTATGAACCAACTTCTCTCCCCAAGAGAGAGAGAGAGAGAGAGAGAGAGAGAGAGAGAGAGAGAGAGAGAGAGAGAGAATAATGAAGAAATTAACGGCGTGTTTGCAGTTGAGGATAACTCCTACCATAGTTTTAGATTGAATAACGAGCAGGAGGGTCAGGAATCATTGCAATAGGCGACTAGAGCCCAAAAGACAGTCTCCATGAACTGAATCTCGCCCCTGCAAGTTTATACAGGTGAGCACACACACACACACACACACACACACACACACACACACACACACACACACACACACACACACACACACACACACTCAATGCAACTGTCCAGATACATTTCCGGTACTGTCAAACACACAAACTAAACAATGGACACATGCAATCTCTTGTCAACACTCGTAGTCAAACAGACCGATCCCGGACCGCAGTTTTGGGAGTTGGGTCCAGCTCTGTAAAATATCTCTTTATACATATTTCCGAGAGTTTGAAATTAGTAGTTTTTTGTTTCGTCTATTGAACTGAGGCCCAATTTTTGATGCTAGTCTCTTAAGTACAATCTATATCATCTGATGCGATTCCTACTCCGAACATTTTGTGTCTATCGATCAGTTTTTATTATACATTTTGGTAGTGCAAGCCTTATGACTAATATCCGGCCTTAATAAATGTGGATTCTAGGCTATTGTTGCGTATTATGGGAACTGGAATTAAATAGTCCACATAGAGAACGGAAAGAGTTCTTACAAATACTGCTGATGTTATCTTGCTGACGTGGGTTTCTGAAGCTGTGTGTGGCGTGATGTTCACTCCAAGATCATATAATTGTCTTAGAATTTAGTAACCGCCTTTGCCTAGTTACTTATATCACCCTAGGTGTATCACCTAGAAGGAAAAGTCGACGCAAGTGACGGATTTGAGCAGGGAAAGATCGACGTCGCAAGCACGCTAAGGGTTGGTGGGACGGTTGAAGCCTCTGAAGCACTGAGGGAATACAGACGCTTCTAAGGCGCATTGGTTAGGCAATGTGGGTGCTACAGTCGCCCCCGGGGCGTGGGTAAACCTGTGTGTAGCTGATATCCTAGGGGTGGTGAAGGCCGGTGCTGCCGACACACTGGCGAAGGTGAAGGCCGGTGCTGCCGACACACTGGCGAAGGTGAAGGCCGGTGCTGCCGACACACTGGCGAAGGTGAAGGCCGGTGCTGCCGACACACTGGCGAAGGTGAAGGCCGGTGCTGCCGACACACTGGCGAAGGTGAAGGCCGGTGCTGCCGACACACTGGCGAAGGTGAAGGCCGGTGCTGCCGACACACTGACGAAGGTGAAGGCCGGTGCTGCCGACACACTGACGAAGGTGAAGGTCGGTGCTGCCGACACACTGGCGAAGGTGAAGGCCGGTGCTGCCGACACACTGACGAAGGTGAAGGCCGGTGCTGCCGACACACTAGCGAAGGTGAAGGCCGGTGCTGCCGACACACTAGCGAAGGTGAAGGCCGGTGCTGCCGACACACTACCGTAGGTGAAGGCCGACGTTCCGACACCCTTGAAAAGACCTTTGTTTGCGTATATCGATTTTTGTTGGGATATTGCACTACCGCGAGTCTTTATGAGTATGTTTTATGAATATCGTGTCAATACGGTGCTCCGCAGTTTTAGCCGAATTTGGCCAGCGTGTTAACAATAACCCAGGGAAATATTGACAGGGGTCTCTTTCATGTAGAGAACTGTATAAAAGGAGGCTAAAAAAAAAAATAAGCAAAATATGCGATGTTTTTCATCCAAAATTTTGAAACCAGCCTGCCTAAAATATTTTACCTATATAAATCTAACTCTTTTTGCTTGTCCTCGTCGTTGTGTTTGCATACAAAATATGTAGTAATAAGGAAATGTTTCTCCATTTTTGTTGTTGTTGTAATTATTACTTTTCAGTTTTACAAAGTATTATAATTGGTTTTTGATCGGAATTCCACATTGAAATTTGACTGTAAATGCATTGGTAGGTTTATGTTTTGGGGAAACGTTGACACTTGTTTAACATTTAGAGTGAGTTAAGAATTTTGATAAGAGATCCTCAAGTACCAGGTTGTGATTAAAGCGCATATTACACAGTTTATTAAACCCGGCCATCATCAAAACAATGGGCCGTCTGGATCACGACGCAAAAAATCAAGTAATGACGCATTCACACCTAAATCAATCAATATTTGACTCACAATCCACTTGACCATGTTCGAAGCGAAGACTTTTTAAAAGGTGTTTCCTACACATTCAACCTTTAAAGACTCACTAAGTCAACGCAAACAGAACACGACTAACCTTCCTTAGACCAAACTATTTACCAACTCGTAGGTACAATCAGAAAACTCTACGAACATCAGAGGTCCACGGCAAATACAATATCCTCCCAGCATGTATAAGAAATATTGCCGGAACAAAAGTGAACGTATTCAAGGAAAAATAATTCGACACGTTCCTGCAAAAAGTAACAGATCAACCAGACTGTAGCGGATATATGGGCTTTGCGGGCCGCTTTAAGCAACAGTTTGCTTGACTAAGTTATCACAAGTCAAACCTAATCCCCAGATTAGGGAACTTCTAGAATCCCTTTCCACGTGTATAATATTTGAGCATATATATGGGAAGAGAACATTTATACCATATGAATGGTTGTCAGTTGGTTACCTATTATATTAATAAAATACTGACAGGTTGCAATCTACGATATAGTCACTTATGGACTTGCATCCCATTCTTCATGCAATTCATCAGCAGTTTCATCAGGGTACCTATTCATGTTTTTCTTATCGTTGTTCAATGAGGCAGATGACCTTAAAGACCATTTGTAACGTAAATAGTAATTGACTGTCATCAGTCATTGCTTGCTTACACCGTTTCGTGTTAGAAACCATTTAAAAACAATGTTGTCTAGCTCTGAATGCTTTCTAAGTCTTATTTTAAGAATAAAAATATGAACACTATTACCGAAAATTGGATATAATATTTCAGTCAAACATAGACAAAATTTGGCAATTCCTGGATAGCATTTTAACCAGCTCTGTATAACGATTCAGTCCACTCAGGATAATATTTCGGTTTGGTTTGAGCAACTTATCTCTTCTGTAACGAACATCTACTTTTGGCAGGCTTTAAGAAATTCACCCGCTCGAATTACATCTTAAAATAATATATCATTAAGAGCTATCCGTCTCCCAGATCACTGTGTCCGCATGGTCTCTGTGTCTCAGATCACTGTACCTTGAAGACAGACCTCTCTAATCCCCAGTTTGTCCTACAGACTAGTGCAATGGGGAGGGGGAGAAGACATGGAAGGCAATGAGACGCAAGCAGAGAGAGAGAGAGAGAGAGAGAGAGAGAGAGAGAGAGAGAGAGAGAGAGAGAGAGAGAGAGAGAGAGAGAGAGAGAGAGAAAGGACAAGAAAATACATATTTTAGTAACCAAAGAAAATGCCTATACCAACCACAACTTCCCCATGCACGAGGGTCGCCCAATCATTAAAGACAAACAAGACATAGGCAATTGAAATACCCTGACAAAACAATTTTGCCTTAATTGAAGCTATGAAATGAAAGACTAGGAGTAATTACCTGTTGGAGTCCGACCACTCACCGTCCTCCGACAAGGAAACAAAGACGGAAACAGTTAAGAGTGAGTCATATAGCGATTCAGAAGAATAACACAAGGAAACAAAGTTAATTAAAACTGTCAACGTTAAAGAAAGTTCTGCGATAAACTTTTAAGATTTGATGTAAACATTCAATTACAGACCGTTGGAATGTAATATTACTACAAGGCTCTCGGAACGACTCCAGGAGGTTATCACGTTCAGTGGGGCCTTGTCAAGAGGATTAAACAGCTTGAAGAAAGTAAGGAGAAAGATGGGGGAAAGCTGGTAGAAAGCTGGGAAAAAGCTGGGAGAAAGCTGGGATAAATTAACTTTCATTTAGTTAAAACAAGAGAGAGGAAGAAGGCCAGTGGAAAGACAGTTTTTGTCCAAACATTTTCAAGGAATCTAATTTTGATTACGTTTAGTTTGTTGAAAGGGAAAGATGAATGAAATTAGAAAATGTTCATTTTGTTATCTGGCAGAAAAGACTATTTTTCCATTCCGTGTTGCCAGAATGAAAGGAATGAGAAGAAACTTGGTGATGGCAGTAATAACTTCTTTTGGTGGGTGTCCAAATGAGAAGGATTGTAGAGGTAATGGCTGTGAGGATGCTGGGTAACTGTGTGCCCCCTCACACACACACACACACACACACACACACACACACACACACACACACACACACACACACGCGCACGCAGAGATATTAGAAAGAACTATTTTAGTGTCAGAGTGGTTGACAAATGGAATGCATTAGGTGATGATGTGGTGGAGGCTTACTCCATACACAGTTTCAAGTGTAGATATGATAGAGCCCAATAGGCTCAGGAATCTGTACACCTGTTGATTGACGGTTGAGAGGCGGGACCAAAGAGCCAGAGCTCAACCCCCGCAAACACAGCTAGGTGAGTACAACTAGGTGAGTACACACACACACACACACACACACACACACACACACACACACACACACACACCACTCAATGATTCGTAGTCCACAAATCAGGGTTCGGTTCCCGGGTGAGGAAGTAACATATGAGCAGCGTTTCTTTCGCCAGTTGCTACCTTTTCCCCGAGTAATAAATACGTACCTGGCAGTTAGACATTTGTTACAGGTTGCTTCTTGGGAATGTGTGTAAGAAATATGTATATGTGTAAGAAGGGGTACTAAGAAACGACACAAACACCAGTGTACAAGTTGAAAATGATGTCACACATTGAAATTGATGGTCCAACGAACCTGTCAAAGAATCCCTCATTCCCTCATTGAACTAGAGCAGCGAGCAGATCAAATCAGCAGGTGAAAACAATCGGCAAGAGCAGTCATTTCTAGCAAGTCAAACAAAATCCCCCCAAAATAGTCCTAGGGAGGATAGCGACATATGCTACGAAACCTTCCTGGCGGTAATGGGAAAGGCAGTTACAATAACAAGGGGGAGCGAGGGATAAGACTTTTAATATCTATAGATTGTTATCAATGGGAGATTGACTGGGTAGCGAGAGACCTGCACATTGATGAGGAAACATGGCGGGTATGTGGACATACATTTACTGAAGCAACATATTGCAAGGTCAATATATTGCAGAGTCAACAAGAGCAGGAGAGGACCCACTAACAACACAAGAACTCGTGTTTATATTTTCGAGTGAACAGAATTTTCTCTTAGAGGAAATGATTCCCCCCAAAGAGCCAGCGTCTACGACGTTATTTGTACGATAATACCAGACTTGAAGAAGATGGTCAGGCAGTAAGTCAGGTTTAGATTATTGAATAGAGGGAAAAGCGATAATCAGGAAAACCCCAACTGAGTAAGGGAGTACCTGACGGATAGAAAACAGTCTCCGTCAGTCTCCGTCAGTCTCCGTTTCTCTCTGCTGGAAAGGAAGTGTGCAGGAGGGTTATGTCAAATGGTGTCTGCCAAAACAAGATATTGGGACTGCTATTTTTGTCTTTTCTATGTCCGAGGATGTGAGTACACACTTTCCCGAGGACGTGAGTACACACAGAAGTTTGCAAACAGGTTAGAATGAATGAGACATGTAATAACCAAGGACTGAAGACGTTGTAAAACTTCAACTGTAACCGTTGAAAGCTAATAAGATCGTGAAAGGAGATAACAGGAAATCTTCACCATAGAATAATACCAAAATCAGAAATCAGGATCGCAGATTCTATATAATTTCTATAAGAACACCCGACACATACAAGCTTTATAGCATCGGCCGCAGATGGTAAGCTGACAAGAGTAATACCGACATGTATTAACATGGTTCCTTTCAAACAAATTCCCTGTCACTGGCATGGTATATACATCTCTGGAATCACAAAATTTTACTTGAAAAACTATTAAGAGCAGCATACGCAGCTTTCGTCAGAACTCCCGTGAAATAAACAACACCTTCATGCAGCTTTTGCCATGTTAAAAACCAGATTATTGAGAAGGTCCAGAGATTACCCTCAAAACTAGCGCCACAAATGAGGGTCACCAATGAAAACAAGTTAATTAAGATCAATATAAATAGAGCGATGATCACGACGTGCACGATACTGAGGGTGAATATGGTCACGACATGCAAGGGATTAAATGGTGAACATGTACAGAGAAGGTGACCTGCCTTCAAGGCAATTCTTGTACAGTAAGAAATACTAATTTGTTCCAAATTACGCTGTTTTGAATTCCACGCAGTAATTCGTATGTATTGTGATTCCCAGCTCGAACATCTGAATGGATAAACAACTCCATTTCTGAGATCAAAGGAAAACGGGTGTAAATTTTATGTGCGAGAGTCGTGAACATGTCTATTAATATACATACACTCAAAGTTTATCTGTGTATAATTGTTCCACAATATGTTGTGAATTTCCTTTTGAATATGATAATTAACACTAAATA